TAATAAGTTTTAACAACCATGGAATATACATTCTACTCATCACCGCATGGAACATACTCTTAAGAGTGACAACATCCTTAGACACAAATCAAGCGTAAATAAATTCCATAAGATTGAAATACTGCCATGCACCTTCTCTGACCACAGTGGAATAAAAATAAATAACAACAACAAAGTTCCCCAAAACCCACAAAGACATGGATACTAAATGGCATGATGCTAAACAACTCCTGGGTCAACATGAAAATCAGAACAGAGATTAAAAGATACCTGGAAACAAACGAAAATGAAGAAACATCTTACCAACACCTCTGGGATGCCATGAAAGCAGTATTAAAGAGGGGAATTCATATCTCTATGAACACACACGAAGCAAATGGAAAGATCACAAGATGACAGCCTAAGAAATCACCTAAGGAAACTGGAAAAGCAAGACCACCAAAACCCTAACTTAAGCAGAAGAATGTAGATCACTAAAATAAAAGCCCAAATTTGGGACATAGAAGACAAAAAGATAATACAAAAAAATCAACGAAAGAAAAAGCCTGTTCTTTGAAAGGATAAACAAGATTGATAGCCTCCTAGCTAGACTGACCAAGAAAAAACGAAAAAAAATCCCAAACAGATAACAATCAGAAATGCAAAAGGTAAAGCCACAACCGACCCCAAAGAAATACAAAAGTTGATCAGAGACTATGTACACTTGTATGGAAACAAACCTGAAAACCTAAAGGAAATGGAGAACTTTCTGGCGTCACACAAGCTCCCCAGGTGAAACAAGAAGAAATCAAGACCTTAAATAGACCAGTAACAATCCGGGAAATTGACTATGTTGTAAGAAAACTACCTACCAAAAAAAAAAAAAGTTCTGGACCAGATGGCTTTCCAGCAGAATTCTATAAAACATACAAGGAGGAACTGATACAAATCCTACTGAGGGTATTCCAGGCAATGGAGAAAGATCAAACTCTTCTCAAATCATTTTATGAAGCTAACCTCACACTGATATCCAATCCAAGTAAAGATCCAACAAAGAAAGAGAACTACAGACCAATATCCTTGATGAACATAGATGCTAAAATTCTCAACAAGATCCTGACAAACCGGATCCAATACCACATCTCAAAAATCATCCACCATGACCAAATAGGCTTCATCCCCAGGAAGCAGGGATGGTTCAACATTCACAAGACCATAAACGCAATTAAATACATCAACAGATGCAAAAAGCAAAACCACATGATTATATCATTAGACACAGAAAAGCTTTCAATAAAATACAGCCACCCCTTCTTGATAAAAACACTGAAATATTTAGGCATAGATGGAACATATCTCAAAATAGTAAGAGCTATCTATGAGAAACCCCCAGCCAGCATACTACTAAGCAGACAGAAATTGGAAACATTTCCCCTGAAAACTGGAACAAGACAAGGATGCCCACTCTCATCCCTCTTTTTCAACATAGTTTTGTAAGTCCCAGCTACAGCAATCAGACAAGAGGAGGAGATCAGGTGTATTCAAATAGGAAAAGAGTAAGTCAAGCTATCCCTCTTTGCGATGACATGATGCTATACCTCAAAACTAAAGAGAATTTGTCAGAAACTTCCTTGCACTGATAAATGACTTTGGCAAAGTCTCAGGGTATAAAACAAATGTTCAAAAGATAGTCACATTTCTATACACCGACAATAAACAAACAGATGAAATAACTTGGCATCTTCCTACCCAGAGATGTGAAAGAACTTTACAACGAAAACTATAAAACACTGTTCAAAGAAATCAAATATGACACAAACAAATGGAAAAATATTCCATGCTTATGGACAGGGAGAATCAACATTGCCAAGATGTCCATCCTAACCAAAGCAATCTACAGATTTAACACAATATCCATTAAATTACCAGCAGCATTCCTCTTAGACCTGGAAATGACAATATAGGAATTCACATGGAAGCATAAACAACCACGAGTAGCCAAAACAATCCTCAGCAAAAAAAAAAAAAAAAAAAGCAGGGGGTATCACACTCCCAGACTTTAAACTTTATCATAAAGCTACAATAATCAACACAGCCTGGTATTGGTACAAGAACAGACATATAGAATAATGGAACAGGATAGATTCCAGAGGTAAAACCTCAATGTTTGAACAAACTCATCTTCAACAAAACCTCCAGACCACCAACCACTGGGGAGAGGAAAGCCTATTCAGTAAATGGTGCTGGGAAAACTGGCTGATCACATGCAGATTAAAACAAGACCCCTACCTATCACCATGCACAAAAATCAACTCTAAATGGATCAAAGATCTAAATGTAAAACCTCAAACTATAAGGACCTTAGAAAATGCAGGAGACACTTATGGAATTTGAACTTGGTAACTAATTCCTGATCAAAACCCCAAGTGCCCATGCCATAAGAGATAAGATAGATAAGTGGGACCTAATCAAAATGACAAGTTTCTGCAAAGCCAAAGAAACCATCAAGAGAGCAGAGAGATAACCCATAGACTAGGAAAAAAATATTTGCCTACTCTATGTCTGACAAAGGCCTAAGATCTAGGATTTACTAGGAACTGAAACGTGACAAAAAGAAAAAAACAAACAGCCCTATTACAAAGTAGGCAAAAGGTATGAATAGACATTTCTCAAAAGAAGACATACAAGCAGCCAACAGATACATGAAAAAATGCTCAGCCTCATTAGACATCAAAGAAATGCAAATTAAAACCACACTGAGGTACCACCTAACTCCAGTCAGGATGGCCATCATCAATAACTTAAAAAACAACAGATGCTGGAGAGGATGTGGCGAAAAGGGAACACTTACACACTGTTGGTGGGAGTGTAAACTAATACCTCTGTGGAAAACAGTTTGGCAATTCTTAAAAGATCTGAAAATTGACCTCTCATATGACCCTACAATCCCCCTACCGGGATATACCCGGAGGAACTCAAATCACTCTATGAAAAAGATACCTGTACATGTATGTTTATTACAGCATTGTTCACAATAGCAAAAACATGGGACCAATAGTGCTGCCCATCAAAAGAGGACTGGTTAAAAAAAATGTGGTACATATACATGATGGAATATTATGTAGCCACAAAGAAGGACAAAACTATGAACTTCACAGCCAACTTGGATGAACTTAGAGTCTAGAATACTGAGTGATCTGTCACAGAAAGAACTCAGTATCAATATTCTCACTCATAAATGTACTTTGAACAATTATCGTAATACTCTAAGAAAAGGATTGGTGTTAGTGGGAAACTGTTGGGGGTGGGGTTATAGGGGTGTGAGTACTGGGACTCTACAGGGGGGTGGGAGCGGGTGGACATCTCATCAACAAAGATATCTGCATAATGAACATTTGCATACCTAATGCTGAACTGTATCCCACATCTTTAAAATAAAAAATTAATAAGATGTTTTTAAAAAGATCCCCTCACCAGAGGCAAATCAGGATCTCCATCTAATTTGTCTCTGAAACAACACTCTCGTGCACATAGTTTTCAAAGTTTGGGAGAAAACAGGTTTCTCATTCAAAACTCACAAGAATTCTTTCAACGTTCACTGTGACTAGCATCAAAATATTCACATTCTTTACCCAAAACCTCCTGAAAACGTAATAGAAAATGTGAGAATGTCTTTTCAGAATACCTTAGATTTTGACAATTTATTCATTATTTTTAAATGAGCTACAAGGAAACTGTTTAGCATACCATGCGATAGTATCATAGTCTATTTATTTGTTCTGAATTCTATAATATTTTTCTCTGTGCCTTGAAAAACACATAGCTTTTAAAACCTATTATAATAAAGACACGTGTCTGTGAATCACATTTCAAAAACGAATCATAAAAATACACTATTTCTACATAATACAGCAGGGAAATTCATTAGAGTTTTAAGTAGCTGGGGAAGACAGATTGAGAAAAGTGGTTCCTTGTACTTTTTGAAAAGACAAAAAAAAAAAAATGTGTTCCGTACTCTTTAATAAAATGTTGCATTATTAGAGACAGAAAAAAATTAACCAGGTTGAAGGTATGTCATAAAAAATATCTTGCTTTCATGAATTTTTGTGCTAGGAGCAGAGTTCTATTTAAATCCAGGAGAATTATAATGGTTGTCTTTTAATTACAAGATTCCAGACAAGTTGGCTCAAGCCTGTAAGCCCAGTACTTTGGGAGCCCTAGGCAAGAGGACTGCCTGAGCTCAGAGGTTTGAGACCAGTCCGGGCAACTTGGCAAGATCTAATCTCTACAATAAATCAAAAAATAAGCCGGGCGTGATAGCATGCGCCTATAGTTCCAGCTACTTGGAAGGCTGAGGGGAAGGATCACCTGAGTCCAGCAGGTCGAGGCTGAAGTGGCCATGAGTGTCCCACTACACTCCAGCCTTGGTGATGGAGTGAGAATGCAACTCAAAAAAAAAAAAAAAAAAAAAAAGAATTCAGGCATTTTTCCCCCTAAGAACTGCATGCTAGAGGCCTAGCACACATACTCATCAATTATACACTGAAAAGTTTCCAGAGCTTGGAGGAGGAATGTTTACATTACCAGGCAATTACTGATTGCTCACTGAACAAATTAAACAAAGAAGAAACAAATAATTTCAATTAAAGTCTGGGCCCTAACACTAAGGTCAAAGATCTATTCAATCCTACAGCTATCTATCCTATTTACATTAAACCTTTCCATTTCAAAAACATCTAATGAACTAATAAGGATATGGAGACCTATGAAGTTTGAATCTCTAATTTCCAAAGGATAAAGGATAACTAAGCTGTCTCTTGGCAAGCAGTTGCAGATCAAATTCAAATTATTTGAGAAAATTTATACATTGACCAAGTTTTTAAAAAATCTTTAAGAACAAAGATTTCCAATGAGCTGGTTTTTCTCCAATGGTTAAAACCATGCATTCATATAAGCACACAAACCCTAGAGCAGCAACAATACCTACAATTAATTACATGGTTATAATAATATTTACTCACCCTCCTAATAGTATCTGTGGCTGGGTGGATTCATTTGTGATACCAAATATATCAGGAATTAGATCGCCATTGAAGCTGAAAAAAAAAACATTTAAAATAATAAGCAGCTATTTTATTAAATCCTCACTTCTACCTTAGCTTTAAAAAAAAAAACAAAAAATTTTGGGAGGTGTGACAGACATGATAACACTCTTCAATAACTATTTGTATTTGTAGTGAGTAATGTCAGCGAAAGTGACATGTGTCACTTCCAAGCCAAAGTGTGTAATTTCTTTTACTGTACCCTCCAGTCCTCCCTTAACCTACCATGGCAAAGGGAAGACCAAGTGTTTCAGATGGTCCAGCAATAACAATGGTAGTGTCTCTGATGGCCTTACTCTCTGAGCAATGGTACAGAGCAGAGACTACTGTGGACCCATACTGCTCACAGGGGGAGGAAGAAATGAACTTCTGTTGTGAGATTTTGGGGATGTCTGTAATCTTTGCATAATCTAGCCTATCCATGAGTGATAAGGAGACAGTACTAATCTCTAGAAGCTTATTTTAGAATCATGACCCAACTTATTTATTTAGATGGGCTCAGGAGAAATAACTCATATAAATAACCCCTAGCTGGTATAAAAATTCATACTGGCCATTGAATACTGTAACAATAATGGAAAAATACACAACTATGAATGAAATCAAGCTGAGTACCCTTAAGAAGATTAATTCATGGATTTATAGTTCAGATTTCTAATGTCCACTGAATAACTATGGTTTTAATAACTGTAAGAAATAACTAGAAACAGAAATGTGGCCATATTTTGCTCTAGTCCCAAGAATGATCTCTAACTCATTACCAAAATACCCTGTCAGAAATTTGGATTAAGTTATCCTTATACATTAGTCTATTTTGAGGAAATAAGTGACAATACAAAGGCAGAGTTGTAAAAAAGAACAAAAATTTCTCCTTAACATAGAAATATTTATAAATTTCTGAAGAAAACCTTGTTGCCTTCATATTTGTCAATCAAATGTAACAGTTTTACTCAAAAACAGCTATCTTAAATCTTTGAATAATATCATGGCTAACATCAACACAGATCCATAATGGATATGTTGGAAACTACTGAAACAAAAGCAAAAGCACAAATCTCTTCCTTTTTCTAAAATAATGAATTTCACGTTTCTATTTCCCTCATAATGGCAAATAAACTTCAATTAATGAAGACTATAGGTGCCTGTTAGCTTTACAGGAAAGTAAGCTTAGTGTAAATACTACTTAGCAAAATAGTTTCTTATGTGAAATATTTTATTTTACATTTAAGTTCAAAATCATGTCTTACTCCATAATTAGTGGTTCATCTTGAAAAGTCCTATTGAGTATGGTCATATTGCTAGGATCTGGAAAGCAAGAAGATATATATATATATATGTTAGTAGGCATTTTATATTACTTTTGATATCTACCTTTAAGGAAAAATCTTTTTTTTTTTTTTTTTTTGAGTTGGAGTCTCACTCTGTCCCAGACTGGAGTGCAGTGGCCGCTCTCGGCCACCGCAGCCTCGACCTGCTGGGCTCCGGCGATCCTTTCGCCTCAGCCTTCTGAGTAGCTGGAACTACAGGTGCGCGCTACCACACCCGGCTGATTTTTTGATTTATTGTAGAGATGAGGTCTCGCCAAGTTGCCCAGGCGGGTCTTGAACCCACGGGCTCAGGCAATCCACTCACCTCAGCCTCCCAAGGTGTGGGATTACAGGCTGAGCCACTGAACCCGGCTAAGGAAAATTCTTTTATTCTTTTCAAGATTTAGCTCTGATTCACTCTAATGATTAGACACTATAAATCTAATTTAAACAGACATCAAACTTGTAAAGATAAAATACTAGGAGAGTACATTCTACCGTGAAGACTAACATTACAATAACTTCCTTGTAAGGCTACTACTAAATATCTCTTAGCTAAATTTTCTTTATATACAATTTGGTACTATAGCAGTTAACAACATGGTTTTGTTATAAATAAGCCAGTATATGCAAAACTCTCGGACTCTGAAATGTCCGTGGTTATACACAAGCAGTGCCTTGCACATGGTATTCCTGCTTTAAATCCTTACTGATTGAATGAATATAAAGTATAGAGATTACAGTTTGTATTCCCAAATGTGACAAAACACAACTGCATTTGCCCCTGTTAAAATCTGGCTCAATGAACAAAACTACTTAGGTATCATTAAATGTCTTTTCAGGTAAGACTTGAAGGTTTGTAGGTAGATATAATAGACTAACTCTCAACCTCTAATTCAACTTTTTTGTGTTTTCCTGTACTGAGGGGACTAGAAACCAAAAATAACATTTTCCAGATATTCTTGCATTTAAGATGCTGAATAAAAGCTAAGCCTTGCTAATCAACTACACTGTGAGTTTCAAAGGCATGAGTGAGGCCAAAGCTGTGCTTCTGCTATTTCTGTGTCTGTTCACTGAATTTGGGTGTATCAAGAGACCAGTTGCAGCATCCATTTTGCTAGTGAGAATCACAGCAGGCATAGCCACAGTCTGGCAGCTGTTACGTAACTGGTCACTTTTGCTAGAGGTAGTAGCTTCCTTGATAGCATTTGGTATTGTTCCTAAAAGCTCAACCTAGAGTCTGTTCTTTAGCCATCCCAATAACTCAAGTTGTTAAAAATCCTTTAATAAATCTCTTTTCTTGAAGCTAATAGACCTGTGTTCATTCTCTGAAAGTGACCCCAGACTGTTTTGGGTAAAAAAAAAACTCAAACACACACATATACAAAACAGAAAAGGAACTTTTAAAAAAGTTTTAATAATTACTGACACTCAAGACTAGTATTTTTAAACTGATATCAAAACAATATTTTGTCACATTTACCTTTCCTATCCAATGGCAAATATTAAAACTCTTAAAACAGATTCACCTAATGTTTGATTTTGTCCCCAGAAGATAACAGCTCCTAATTCACTGTTGGCATGAGTTTTGGGAAGATATGTCAGAAGAACATCCATTTGTGAATCTCCATCATAATCCCCAGGGACTACACTTGTTATCAGTGCACTGTCATTCCTAAAAGAAACAAATTTTTAAAAATATCCAAACAAGGTATAATAGAAAAGAACATCTCTATATTTTTACCATAAAAATATTTTCAATGCAAAATTTAACATTTCACATAACCAATTAATCTGTTTCTCTTGTTTAATATCTTATTATCCCTCACGTATTTAGACTTCTTTGGTCTATAGAAGAGTACTGAATGAATGCAGAGGAGTCTTAAGAAATAAGATAAACCTGAAAAATGTCAAGAGAAAATTCATTCATGTTCAGGCATTGGCTAGCACAGTCCTTTTATTTAGTCTCTTTATCAAAATACCAAGATATTTAATGGTTTTTCTAACAAATGGAGGCTCATCATTAACCGCTAAAGCAGAAAGCAGTATCACTGTGATTTTGTCAATTAAATTATTATTACAAAATATTTAATTTGGATTTTAGTGTGAATCGACAACTTACAATGAAAATTAAATAATTGTTTTATTTTTGAAAGCTAGTAGAGATTCACAATGAAAAACAAATTTTTACCAAACCTAGCAATCAATACACTACACAAACATATATACCTAATTTATTTATTTATTTATTTTTATTTTTGTAGAGACAAGGTCTTGCTATGTTGCTCAGGCTGTTCTCAAGCAATCCTTCCATCTCAGCCTCCCAAAGTGCTGAGATTACAGGCGTGATCACTGCACCCAACCCTAATTTTGTATTTCTACTAACAATAATTCTAAAATTATTTTTATTAATTTTAAAAACTTAATATCCTAGAGTCTTGCCATAATGCAGATAAAATTAATACTGCATTAATTTTAAAAATTGCAATTTCTTTCATAACTTAGAACCCTTTATATCCTTTAAATTTCCTTCTAATCTTTAATCACTTCTAGGCAGTTAGTTCATTTCTTGTATATATTTATCAACTCTAGTTCTTTCCCCACTCTAACCATGCTGACATTCAGTATCCAGAGCATTTCTCAAGGGGGATAAGTTCCTGTTCACACTTTTATAACTTTCCCCTCAATGTTCTAATTCAAGGCTATTTTTTTTTTTTTTTGCATGAGTTTGAGTTAAATACTGTAGAGTCTGAGTACTTATTAGCCTACATAGGGACCTTTTTTACAGTTTCCAAAACAATCTTTAATCTTCTACATAGCAATTCATTCTGTACATGGTTAACAAGTAAATCAATCTAAAATACTGTTTTCATTATCTCTCCTTGCACAAGGACCTATAATGACTCCCCTCTTCTCACAGGATTGAGTTCAAACTCTTCTGATATTTATGAAGGTTTCCAGTCTGCCCTGATCTCATCTTCTTAGTCTTAATTCTTCAAAGTATACCTTCCATTTTCAGGCAAATCTTTCCACCTCCTCTTCGCAACCTGCAGTTTTTACTGTCACCTCTTATACATGCTGTGGCCTCAAAATTGAACACTTTCACCTAAATTTTACTTGTACTAAGGTAAAGTTAAATTCCATGTCTCTCCCGAAGCTGCCACTTTGGCCTGCCCTGACCCATCTCTTCTTCCTTGAATTCAAACAGCAATCAATCCTTGCTTCTTGTAGTTCCAAAATTGTGTTGGTTCACTATAATTGGGGAGGTGAGGGGAGATTACTGCTTCATGCAATGCCAATCATATAAAAGAAAAATAACGATTATTTAAACATTTTATCAATTTAATTTCAAAAACTTGATTTGAATGACTTCAAATCAAAACAAAAAAATTAGGATAGAGGTTACTGTCTTTTCCCCACTGGAAAAAGGCTCCTTCTTCTCCAACACAAAACACATGGTTGACATTATAGCCTCCTGTGAGTGACCTGCTCCCAGGATGACAGACAATTCTCAACACATTCAGGAAAGGATATTAGACTGTAGTGAAATAAAGGGTGTTTATTTAGAAACAGTCCTGAATCCACTCAAATTAATTTTTTTAAAAAGTAAATCATTTTTTCACTACTTTTCCTAACAAATCACTTTGCTACTCATTCCTCATATCCACTGGTTTTGATTCTCAATACAAAAGGTTAAGACTGATTTCAAAGACAATCTAACCAGCCACCGCATATCCATTATTACAATAATGATTAAAGTTTTACAGAAACAAATATATTTGTACTTACATCAAGGATAGCTTTACTTTGGGTTTAAAATAGGGTGCATTCTGGTCTGCCAAAAAGACAATTAAATCATTTCCTAAAATAAAGAAATATATGCTATTAAAAAACAATGTCTCCTGGTAAGACATCTAATAAGTGGTCACAAGAAACTTTCGAGGCACTGCTGTCAACAGGAAAATTTTTATTCTACTTCATCTGTCCTCTCAAGGATAGTCCCACTAGTCTAACAGGGATGCCTAACAGTATATCCCTGTTCAATGTTCAAAGCAGTACAGAAACAGGAAGGATGAACATGGAAAACTGTAGATGATCAAGACAAACTGAAGTCACTGGGTTCTGCCAACAATAGATTGCTTGATTTAAAAGAACCATGTAAAGAACATGCCTAACAACTATACGTCAAGACTTGTCTTCCTCAAACCTATTGCCCCTTATACAGCTGTTTAGTTCATCACACAGATATGTACCACACCAAGGATGCAGGAATTCCCACTGTAGGTATCTGACAAGAAGGATGTAAAGAAGCATGTAAACAGAAAATGCTGAATTCTACAAGACCCTTCTTCTATCGTTCATACCTCCCGCCCCAGGTTGATGCATTCTTAGAGTTCAATTAGCACTCATTGGGTTAGACTTCTGAAATTGCTTAATCAAACAGTCAAGAAGAGTCTCTGACCAGTTTGAAAGGAGTAACTACAGGTTTGGCAGTATAATGCAAAATGGGGAGTCATACAAAGATTGGGGAAATATGCAAAGTTCACAAGAGGCTCTGAGATCCTGGCAACGGCCCCAAGAAATGTGATTCAGGATCCTGTCAGACAAGCTCTGCATCAGCTCTTCACTTCCTTCATGGCCTTGATCTTTAAGCAGCAACTACTTCTGTGGGTACTAAGAAACGCTAAGACCCCCTAATGCCCATTATCAGCATCAAGATTTACAAATTAGTTTAGTAATGGTCAAAGCAAAGAACTTCCACAAGAACCACAAGTTGGCAAAGAAAGCAGATATTTGGAAGACTAGGGTGATAACTAAGGTGAAGAGGGGTCAGGTGTACATAAAAGAACAAGCAGTTCAGAATGGAGAAGAGTATGCGGTTTGAGAGTAGCTTCCCCAAGGAGGCACTGAGTTTTTCTGTGGTCCCTGCAAAATGCTTGTGTGAGCTGTTTAGTGTTCAGGGTCTTGGAAAGGCACAGTATCTTCAAAGAAAGCCAGGACCCTGGCAAAGGGAGGGACTGGTGGATTAGGTAAGTGGGGAGGCAGGGAGAAGTACCCCGTGAGAAGAAAGTGTCAAGCTGCATCCTTTCCAGCTCATCATAGAGGAAGGAAGATCGAAGTACAGTAGAAAGGAATGAAAGGGCCTTAGGAGCAGAGGCAAGCTGCAAGACTCCTGGGAATCAGGAAGGACTCTGGAAGGCAGGTGATTCCATTACAAGGAGTGGGTGCGTGGATAAAGGCCGCAGTCTTATTTTTAAAAATGGGGATAGGTCAAACTGTAGGGTGGCAGTGTCGGAACCTGGGGTTGCAAAAAGTGGAGGAAAAATGGCAAGCTATCAAGAATACTGGAGATAAAGGGAAGGCCACGGGGCTGGGAGAGAAGGGCCGGCAATCGGGGCAAGGGGTGTGGGGAACACCGGGAGGGGCACACGGACGGTGGACAGAGGGAGGGCCCGGCAAGCACTGACTTTCCCGCAGCACGAAGAGGTCCGTCTGCTTGTCGGAGTTGAGGTCCCCGAAGGCCGCCAGGGTGCCCCAGGCCTCGGCCCCAAAGAGCTCGGCCGTGACGTTGTGCAGCGCCCGCGCCGGGACCGGCCCGAATCCTAGCAGCGCAAGACACGCGAGGAGCGGCGCCAGCGGCTTCCAGGAGCTCGGCAGCCCGCCCGCCACCGCCATGGCCGCCCCTCGCCCCCGCCCGCCGGCCCGGCGCAGCGCTTGACGGCAGCCGCAAAGCACCGCGCGCCGGCCGAGAGAAGGCGCGAGCCTCTGGACCCTGCGAGCCGCCGGCGGGCCCCCAGCACTCTCCCTAGGCCGCCCTTCAGACGCTCGAGAGGCGGCGGGGCTGGGGTGAAGTTCGCCTCGCGCTCACTTCCGGCCGGCGCACCTCTCGACAGTGTCGCGCAGGGGGGCGTGGCCGGGCGGGCTGTGCTGACGGGCAGCTCCGGGGGCGGTGGCCAAGGCGGTGGCCGGAGCGGGATGGCCGGGGCAGCGGGGCTCATGGCCGAAGTGAGCTGGAAGGTCTTGGAGCGGAGAGCTCGGACCAAGCGCTCAGGTTTGGCTGGCTGGGTCCCCGCCTCCCCACCCCCGCACCTTGAATGGTACTTCCCCCCAAGCTCCTGGAGAGGGAGGCAGGTGGGGGTCCTGGGAATGAGCCTGAGCCTGTGCCTGTGCCTGGTGTTTTTCCTGTTAGAACGTAGGCGGCGGCCCAGCTTTGAGCCTGATGTCTCCCCCCACCGCTACGAATTAGGTGGAGGTCCCAACTCCACGTCGGGTGTCTCCCCACAACTCTGTTCTCTGTGTGTACCCCCTCAGAAAGAATGCTGCGGTCCCGAATTCTCTCGGAGTCTTCCCACTTAGAAATCCAGGTTGTGGCTCATTCCAGGGAAAGGGAGTGTGCCCTCCCTCTGAGTGTCCCTCCCCACAAGTCATATGTAACTCTAACCTGGCCCTAGAGCTCCCGCGGCTTATCGTCGCCTTATTTCATATACCCCTTTTACCTTCCTGTTATCTACATGGCAGACACTGAGGGAGACGGCCTGGGTCACAAAGTGGGTCACGTTTAGCATAGTTAGGGTTCAGAAAGAAGTGGGCCCTTCCCTATGCAAGTGGCCCCAGGTCAAGTAGTTTCCTGCTGTGACTCCTCAGCCCAAGGCCATGGAGGTCAGAAGGGTGGTGCAGACAGAACAGTTCAAGTGTCCTGAACTGACTTGTTCAAACTGCAAAGTCACGACTTTAAAGTTAGCACCTGTGACTGATAGCGCCTTCGAGAGCGGGAGTTGAAACTTCTCTTATTTCTTGCTGTCTGGATATAATCTTGAGTAACAAGTGTGCCAATAAACAGGAAATGTGGTGGAATAACGTGTTCAACTAAGGACCTTTCCTTTTAAAGGATTGACGAGCTCTGACATTATTGGGGGATGAACTGCATTGCCTAGGAAAATTAACTCTGCATTTGCACTGATATTAAGGGTTTGTTTTTGTGTTTTTCTCAACTAATGTGCCCCCATTGTGTTTTGGGCTTTTTCCATTTTATGAAGTTCTTAGTAGTCTGTTGTTCACTCTGACTTTTCTAATTTGGAGAAAGTATCTAATGTCATAAATCATACACTCAATCTTTGTTACCAATTTTAGAACATTTTTAAGGTATAAAAAAGAATGAAGTTGGTTTTATTAATACCTTAAAAAGGTTTATTTACTAGAATTATAGTAAAACTTCCAACTACAAAGTTTGAGAGAATCTTTCAAATAGTAATCTTTAGTACATTTTAAAAATCAATACAGTTACTTAGAGTAGTCATATATATTTTTGCTTCACTTTTTCTTAAAATTTTTTGTGAGTCATAAAAAAAATTGATTTGGCTACTAATGAAGTAGCTATCTGGGCTACAACCAGTATTATTGGATTTATTGTGTCTGGATAAAGAGTAACCAGAGTTTTCTTACAGGGAACTGAGCACTGCCCCCAACAAATATTTTTTCAACATTTCTCTTTTTCTTTAATAAGCACTTAGAGTTTATTTCTTCTCCAGTCTTTATTTTGTTTCCTCTGAAATGCATGCCATAGCAGTAAACTTTGAAAACCTTAATTCTCTTAACTGGGAAAAAAATTTCAAGTTTTTAAACTGCCATTAAATGCAGTCACTTAAATCCAGTTTTGTATGCAAAGTAGTTAAGTGCAAGTGCACAGTATCAACATTGAGTGTTCCTGTATGTTTACATCACAATAGTAAAAAAAAAAGACACCAGCTGAAGTCATTCCTCCAAATTAATAGTTACTTTTAAGGTTTTCCATTCTTCTGATAACTCTGTAAAGTTTCTTGAGTTAGTCATTTACTACTTGTGTTATTAAAAACAATCAGCTGGATTCTGTTTGTTACTATTAGAAGAATATGTAAACTTTTAGAAGAATATTTGAAACTTGAGCTAACTTGACTCTGGTATAGATGCCTCTGCAGAGTTCTGAGCATTGTTACATAGTAGCATAATCACTTAATTGCATAATACAGGATACTAGTCTTATTTAATGCTTAATAAGTGGATATTATATATTTCCTGCCTCATCTATACAAGCAAATGTAATTTATCAAAGCAAAGAAAATCAAATTTTCAAGTCATAAAAGATAAAATAAAATTATAACTATCCTCAATGACTGCCTTTGTTGCATACTGCATCATGTTAATAACTGCTCACGCTGCTTTCAATTAATTTAATACTGATTGCTTCTAACCTTCACTAAACAGTTTTAAAATTGCTGTAGCTTAGCCTGCGACGCTTGTCATTAGACTCAGTGAAATGGCCAGCTCATCTGATGCAGTCGTCTCCTCTCCACCTGCTTTCTTAAGGTCTGGTAAGTGTAGACCTCAAAAGGGTCACTTAGTAATTTTAAATACTTTTGTTTCTGAAGGTTGATGTCACTGTAAGATACCATTTTGACTTTATTTTCTCTTTGGTTGGGCCTAGCCTGAGCACTGTTGCTGCTAGTGTTAGGCTCAGGTTTACAGTATGTTTTGAGTGTGGCCTGTTGTGTTTTTATGGTGTGGGGCATGCGAAGGACAGAAAGTAGACTGCCTGCGCTGACACTTGCAAGCTGTATGACCACAGACAGTTCTTTACTATCTGAGAACCTCTATTGTTGAATGAATACATAAAGAAGCTTTTAAAACGACTTTTGTCTACTTGTATAATGTAAGTAACTTTTTTAAGTTAAAAAATTTTGATCAGTATCCTGCTTATCTACTTTTCATCAGCTCGCTATGAAGGAGGTATCATATATATATCTGTATCTATATCTATATGTAGATATAGATATAGATATGTGTTTTTACAGACAGGAAGTGACTTGTCCCAGGTCCTGAGTCTCTCATGTTTCAAGACCATTTGCTTTATACCTTATCCTGTGACTTGTTGGTATAAGGGCTGGAAGAGATGTTGGCACAATGGCTCTTGGACTGCTTTGTTGTTGTGCCCTTTAAGAGTTGGATGAAAGCTGAAAGCTGTTGAGAATTGTTCCCCAGAAGAGTGCACAGGATTTTGAAAACAATGAATTCCCTTTAGGAACCAGGCATATGGATGTATTCAGTCTCACTTTACAGAAGAGGAAGCAGGTTTTGTTAAGTGGCTGCATAGCTGAAATGAAAACTGAAGTCCTTAGGGCCCTTTTCTGTAGGTTGTGATCCACCATCAGCCATTTAAAACCTGTTGTGTCAGAATACTCTGGAAGAAGCCTCTTGGTAAAAGGCCATTTGTCTCTAAGTGTCCTAGCAGAATATTTGAGCCTCCGCATTCATTAGCAGGCAAATGTGAGATAAGCACCCCCAGACAGTAAAAGTTAAAACTCCTTGCCTTCACTTTAGCCATTCAGGAATGGTTCCCCCTCTTCATTCATTTCTATTTATATTTTTCAAATACTATTTTGACAAAATAGAGGAGGAAAATCTTGAAGAAAAGAAATAGGACACAACTTCAGGAAGACTCAAACAGGAGAAAATAAAACTTACACTTTAAGGAATGAAAATGATTCCTATCTTTAGTTGTCATCTGCTGAATGACAAAATATTATATGTAACAATGCCAGTTGATTTCTGATTTTATCTTTGAACTAAAAGAACAAGAGGGCATATTTCTGGGAATGTGTTTTCTTTCTTTATAAGCACCAAACTCTGTTTTTTTTTTTACCTGGGCTTTTTTGCCAAAAGTTTGTTGGGTTTTTCAGCATTAGCAAAGTCATTCAGTAGTAATGGGGAAATGGAATTCTAAAGATGTACTCTTATTCATCAATAGTTTTGAAAATTTCTGAACTCAAAAGATTGTGCTTTAATATTGCATAGAATGCTTTAAAGCATATACAAGAAGCTTTTTAATTACCATATTGTTAAATTGAAATTACACCAAAAAACAAGTCAGAAAAATATCAAACTTCAGTGTTGTGATTCATTTTAAAGAATGATTCTTTATAAATTACTTTCAATATATATGCTTTTTTTGGGAATTCCTCTAAAACTTAGTAAGACAGTAAAGAAATACTTAAAACTTTTATCTGTTAAAAAATTAAATACCCAGAGTGATTTGAATTTATAATTTATTTACTAATTTAGACATACTGTGTTTATGTTGGGAATGATTTGCTTTCCCCTGTTGTGGTTCCTTGGACATTATTATGTCCAAGAGTTATTGTAGGAGAGTGTTTTATTGTGTGGTTTCATTGAGCAGTTATTTTAAAGTGTGTCCTGGATACACAGCCTAGCTTTTCACTGGTAGTTTTGGCTAGAAGTTATCCAGTATTGCCAAAGATGAAAGCCATTAGTTTCTTGATTTTGAAAAATTAGTTTCCAAACTCCCTGAATTGTTTTATGTGTTTTTAACTCTCCTTATTCCTCCTGGGTTGTTTCTGCTTTTTAATTTTTTCTTTGTTTCTATTCTTCGTTGAATTTTTTTTTTCATTCAAAAGAATTAAATCATTTGCTGATTACATATGATAATGGATACACAAGCTTCATTCCCATCTATAATTTTATCTGATACCATTAGTCAATTTAGATGTATTGCATAGGATGTGCCAACAATTATCTTTATAACCAGTAATTCCATGATTTTGTTTTGGTGACCCTTATTTTTTTTGCTCACTCCATTGACCAGGCTAGAGCGCAGTGGTATACTCAAAGCCACCCCAGTGTCGACCTGCTGGGCTCCAGCGATCCTTCCACCTCAGCCTTCCAAGTAGCCGGAGCTATAGGCACGTGCTACCAGGCCTGGCTAATTTTTTATTTTTTTAGAGATGCGGTCTTGCCAGGTTGCCTGGGCTGGTCTTGAACCCATGGGCTCAGGCAGTCCCCTTGCCTCGGCCTCCCAAAGTGCTGGGA